TAATGGAATATCTAACTGTTAAAATTCCAATGATTTGTCATTGTTTGAATCTTTAAAAGCATAAAATTTGTATAAAGAATGTATCTGTGTAAAGTATGCATCTGTTCAAGTATAATTGAGATGTTTTTTTCACGGAGATATTGGATTATTACAGAGACCCATTAGAGAACAATCGAAAAGGGAATCATTCCGATCAGGTTGAACTCATGCCAAGTGTACAATGCACGCCAAATTTCGAGTTTAGTGATTCGTATGCAACAACTTTCCCCTGAGACGCAGAGCGTCGAGACTGAAAATGTCGAGGGAATTAAAAATAGTCCGGGTAAATCGTTTTGAATGAAATTGACGAATCGAGTCGAGATAAACGTGTCGAGAGGACGAAACGCAACAGATCCCAGAGGAGAAATACAGCTTGCACGATCGGTCACTCCGACAAAGACGGCGGACTAAAAAAAGCCGCGTACATGAAAATATACCGGAGAGGAAAGAAGTGAAACCGAGCCGTACAAAGCGCAACCGCGACGATGATATCTGCGAGGGTGAAGAGACAAGGACGCGGAAACGTCGGTGACGAGGACGGAGGATCCGTCGACGGGGGTGAGAACAGGAAGGGTGAGGAAAGATCCACCCTGGTGGATGATCCCGCCTCTAAGGAGCCGCTTCGTGCCACCGGGGGGTTAGCGACCAACCCTCCCACGCGGCATCTCCACCCCGGCGTCCCGGCGCAGGCTCCGATACACAGCCAATCGTCGGACCGCGACTGATAACGCCGCTGCCAAATGTGCGTCCGTCGCATCGCGAGTTCGCCACGGTGGTCCACGCGTTCCTCTCGCAGCCTCGTTACATACCCTCGAGTCGTGATCCGGCCGGATAACGACCGCGCCGGCACGTTCCAGGACTCCGGTCTCGTCGTCCCGTCTCGAAGTTCGCGTGTTCGCAACATGGATTTCGGATTCAGTTAATCGGACACCGTGACGCGTCCGTTCGCATATTTTCCGACTGTTGTTTCACGTGAGAAGGTGGAGGTTCTAAGGACAGTTCCGAGGAGCCAGACGACGAACTGGATCTGACAGTGCTGGATAAGGATACACGCAGGACCCCGCATTGACGGTGAGTCTCGCCGAGGATAGTTTTCTGGGAATTTGCATTTAATGCATCATGAGATTCGTCGAAGTTTCGCGTTTTTAAATGGTCTCTAGTGTTTCTGGTACATCGATTGGATCGTCATGCATTTACCAAATTCCTGATAAGAATCGGCACTAAGTTTATACGTTTATAAGGGAATCGAATGTCCAGAAAATATTAAGAATCTGTCTAGCCCGCACGATAAATCATAAAACGAATTTTAATTAAAATCCCATTTTTGATACGCTGATACAGAATTGTACAGGATATCAAAAGCTTTAAATGATAAACGTTTATTCTCTAAATTCATACTATAAACATTTAATTTTGCATGAAAACGTTCCGTTTTAGTGATTATCGCCATTTCTCCCCACGTGTTTTAACCGTTTTCGACGATGTACAACCGCCGTGAACACGGGAGCTCACCTGTCTCACTCGCGCGTGCCTCGCGTATTAACCGCGCACCTATCTTCAACGCTAAATTACCACTCCCGCGTTCGCTATTTTTCCTACCATCACTTTTACTGCCTCGCGTTCTACGTCGTTATACATTTTTTCAACGCCTCGTAAATTTTGCACACCCTACACTTTCGCTGGGATCGCGGATCCCTGAAATCCGTGGGGACGATTAAATTGAAAAATGCGTCGCTCCTTTGGAATTTTTAAAAAAACGAGGCGCGTTGCATCAATAATGAATTCAACACTAGATCTCGTAAAATATCGAATGGATTTAAATCTGTACCGATGTTGAAACGAAATACCTTATCAGCGACGATGGCATTCCTTTTTTTCTTAAGTCCATCATCTTTTTTTGGAGTGGAAAATTCGCATGTATCATGCTAATCGAGCGTTCCGCGGTGGGAATGTATTCAGGCATCGTTCGCCTTTATTTTTGTCATTAAAGAATTCCTGTTTTTCGAGGAAGAGCGGCTCGTTCAGTTAATATCCATGCTTCTACTTCTCCCAGTCTTCCTTTTCTCTTCAATGAACTTTGTCATGTATTAAGCAAGCATGGACCGTGATTATGGAAGTCGTTCCGGTTTTTATCGCCGAGCAGTATTCCTGCTGGTTCGCGTTTCAGAAATTAGCATTCTGCATAGCATCTTTGTACGAAAGATATATGTATGCGTACGAGATGAGTCAGAATAATCGTATAAAGAAATTAATTGTTCTTACGTGTCATTAATAACATCGATTCAGAGACGATGAAATCACAAATTCACTCATACAGTGAGTTTTAATATTTCTATACGAAGGCGAATATTTTCAATCATGCAAAAGCATGGGCGATCGTGGAAATGGAGAGACTCATGACATAGTAGATTACGAATGGGAGAATATACTTTCTTATACGAATCATAAGAGCGAGCAAAACTCGAGGTATCTATTCTGTTCCTGAACCAGATTTCATATGGAATTCATTTCTTCCTCTTCGTATTTGCCTTTTTACTCGTAACCCATCCTAATCGTTGCAAATAAACGACACCGAAGTAATCGCCTTCAGCGTTTTTGGTTCTACTGTAAATGGTTAGCTATTAACTAACGTACGGCCAATTACTAGTTCTCTCATTTTCAAGGATGATCAGTCTCTGACGCGATTATTGAATTTTTAACAATGTTTGTGCAACGTAGTCAACGTAACTGTTTTAGAAAAGTCAGCATTGTTACATAATCTAAGTTTAAACAGGATTTTTACGCAGGGAGTTATTTAGTAAAAGAGTTATTATTCGTCGTTTATATGTAACTTATAGATTTTATAAGGAAACTGAATGTGCAACAAATATAAACATGTAATATATAAAAATATAGAAAATATCAGAGGAAGAGTGCAATATTTATGTTACGTTATTAAAATGCATTTTTATAAACTGTTGCCATAGATACTTGATTTTGCATAAAAATCCGCAGTCTATTTATGTGCATTCAATAAAGCGTTTGACACGATTACTCTTCGGTCTCTTCGACGATCTTCGAGAAGAAAACGCAGCAAGGTGGACACGAGTACGTACATCTCTCTCTTCCTTTCTTATCAACAGTAGTCGCGACACGTCGTATTTAAATAGCGCAGTGTGTAGGTACGTAGATGCTCGCGTACGCGTACGAGAAGGAGCGAGATCGAGGGAGTTTAGACGAGGTAGGCAGAGGGGTTTCCGGCGAGCGTTAACAGAGTAACAGAGTGATGTAATGAGGCCCGGAAGCAGGCAATTTGCTGGCCGCGGCGCGGCGGCCACAGTTGCGCGAGACAACCTGCCTGGAGTACCTTCTTCTTGATATCGGGTCCAGCCTCTTCAACGACCGATATCCGCGTCCATCGGTCGAAGATCCGCGCACGCGACCCTCTTCGCGGTTCCCCGCGATCGAAATCGTTCGGAAACCTCCGCTCTCGTCGACGGGACTCTTGGACCGAACGTGTCGAGAATTCGTTTGACAAAACGGTGTACAGTGTCGGAGTAAATGTTTGGAGGAACCGGGAGACTGACGACAGCCGTGGGAGAGACTCGAAGATTTCATTTAAACAAACGAGCGTGATCTGTGATCGAGATGAATGATCGTTCTGGTGTATGTCAGGTGGATTTATAGTAGACGTTGTAACGGAGATTGACGGAAGAGTTCCGATAAACGAGTGGAAGATATAATTTAAGGAAACGATTAAGAAAAATTACTGTCAATTTACAAAGTGAATTAGGAGTAAACGCTTGGAAGAATTATTCTAGTGAACGTAAATAAAAATGATACGGTTCGATGAACGATTAAGAAGTTGGAGATTCGATTGAATTTATCAATTAAGAGCGTCGTGTTCAGTGGATTAAGTTCAATGCCGTTTCCCTTGCGTACGGCGTCAGAGGCGAAATCGCGGGAAGAGCCAAGATCTGCGTCTGATGGAAAGGAAGCTGATAATCGAATCGGTATCGACGATCGCGTATCCAGGACGCGGAAACCGTATACTCGCGGGCCGCCGGAGGTGCACCGTGATTATGTGACAGTTTTGTGAACGTGATTAAATTGACCTCGATACCTACACCGTGGACATCCGTGCGCCGCGCGCCGCACCGGTGCGTTCTGTCACGAGAGAACTTGTTTTCGTTCCATTTCTACTGGAACATTTTTACCCGAAACGATGCACCTTGCGAGACCCGATCGTACCGTCTCGTCTCCGATTAGTTGATCGTCGCTGTGATTCTCGTTTCGAAAGGAGGACCGATGGTCAGCGTCTACGGCGTGCAGCTCGCATTTTATCGTGGACGTCGCAACGACAGCAGGTAAAATCGTTCTTCTTCTGGTCATTGTTCGTTTCCTGTCGGACGAGTAATTCGCGTAACTCGCGGGAGGAAGCGTTGGATCTCGCCAATAACAGGGAAAGATCGCGCGAAACGCCGCGGGGAAGGGGAATGTCATTGAATCTCTCAAAAGAGAGATAAAACGTAAAGCGAAAAAGAGATAAGAATTGCTCTTTTTCCATTGACTCTTGAATTCGTATCGAAATTCATTTTATGAACTGGCAAGAGAACTGAATGGGCAAAAGTGTCGGCAATTACATTGTTATTGGAACGAAAGGGACGTTGCTTTTAAAGAGAGCGTGATTTAGGAGAAGAATCACGTTACGATAATGCAGATTTGGAGCATCGGTTTCGGAATTCCGATGAGACGCGATAACTCGCACAAGCCTCGATAACATGTAGCAGACTAAATTACGATAGATCGATTACGAGTTGCCGCTCGTTACGTGCACGTAATCTACCTCTAGTTACCTGGCTATCTTCTCCGTCACCGGATTTTCCCATTTCCCGCCGATTCCACGAGATTCCCAACTTGTCCAAGTATTCTAATTTTAATAACTCTGAACGATTATACATTTCTATATTCAACCGATTTACCTGCCATGAAAACATTTTAAAAATCTTGTTTGGAATTTTGGATCGAGATAATAGAATTATATTAAAAAAGGGGAAGGGTTAGCTCCAATTATTATACATTTTCTCTTAAATTAAAAACTTCGCTCTATTTACTCTTGAGGCTAATTGAAAAAATGCCATCGACGAAGGAAATGCATTGTTCATGTAATGACGCTGTCGAGAGTCAGCGATAGTGAATCGGTCGCATCGATTGATTGATTGATCGAGACGTTCGAGTTCGAAGCGTCACCGTAGTGTCACGATCACTGATAATCCGTAATGGACAGATTACAGATACGGGATTTAGGTAATCGTGAATGCAATCTGCTAATAGACACCTTTCTCGCTAAGTCAATTATCAACACTGATTCACGTCGATTAGCTGGGACGTAATTTCATTTTATTAGATAATTTCCTTACTGGTTACTCACTCCCTGCGACGCGCTTTCAACGGTACATCGTTTTCATCTCTTCTCGAGAAATTTCATCTCGCCTTAAGCTTTTAGGTTTCCACTTTATTCTCCACTCCACTTATTATGGGGATACTTCCTCCACCAACTTTTATAATTCCTACTCTAATGCAAAAAGATCCAGCTTCCCTTCCACGATCCTAATGTATTTTTTTTCTCGCTGCTCCTCTACAAATCTGCCTGTTTATTCTTCCTCTTCCTTATTTTCTATTTCGAACTTCTGAAAAGGTTCTCACGATAGTCAGAGGCAATTTCCTTTTTCCATAGACTCATCGAAAATATTTTAATCAAATAGCAAAGTAAGACGTTTATAAAATATGACTGAAATTCAAATTAAAAAATGTTTCAAATGGTATTCAATTTTCCTGCTTCAAATTTTAATAAAAAAAAACTGCAATCATCTCAGGAATTAATATGAAAAAAAATATTTTCAGTGTATATTTAATTTTGAGCCAAAGACTGCAAGGATCGAATTCTGATTTCCAGGGGCTCTTTGGTGATGTACGACAGCGCTAGCTGTTCGTACGCAGGTGCGCTCGAATTAAAGGGAGCATCCGGGGCCGGAGCCGCGGCTGCGGCCGCGAGTGTAACCGCGGCCAGCGTGAAGCAGGAGAACTGGCCGTACCGCGGCCTCACCTGCGGTAGCACCTTCCAGAGGCTAAAGGAGAGCGTCGACAAGGCGAAGCAAGCCCTAGCCGACCGCGGCGGATACCTCTCCGGTGCCTTCTCGCCTCCGCCACGTGCCAATCCATCCGCCATTTCACCCACCGCCTCTATCACCGGTGAGTCCACATTTTTATGCCACTCTTTCCGTTTTATTGGGTTGGCAACTAAGTGATTACGGATTTTAAATAAGAAGTCTATCGACAAAGTCCGCAATTATTTAGTTGCCAATCTCACAAAAATGAAAAGGCAATTGTCGTCGTCAGTCAGTGCGAAATGTTTAACACGAACCGGTGGAAAATGTGAGAAAAACGATAGTTTGTTAGATTGCAAGTTTTTTTTTTCTCGCTGCTCCTCTACAAATCTGCCTGTTTATTCTTCCTCTTCCTTATTTTCTATTTCGAACTTCTGAAAAGGTTCTCACGATAGTCAGAGGCAATTTCCTTTTTCCATAGACTCATCGAAAATATTTTAATCAAATAGCAAAGTAAGACGTTTATAAAATATGACTGAAATTCAAATTAAAAAATGTTTCAAATGGTATTCAATTTTCCTGCTTCAAATTTTAATAAAAAAAAACTGCAATCATCTCAGGAACTAATATGAAAAAAAATATTTTCAGTGTATATTTAATTTTGAGCCAAAGACTGCAAGGATCGAATTCTGATTTCCAGGGGCTCTTTGGTGATGTACGACAGCGCTAGCTGTTCGTACGCAGGTGCGCTCGAATTAAAGGGAGCATCCGGGGCCGGAGCCGCGGCTGCGGCCGCGAGTGTAACCGCGGCCAGCGTGAAGCAGGAGAACTGGCCGTACCGCGGCCTCACCTGCGGTAGCACCTTCCAGAGGCTAAAGGAGAGCGTCGACAAGGCGAAGCAAGCCCTAGCCGACCGCGGCGGATACCTCTCCGGTGCCTTCTCGCCTCCGCCACGTGCCAATCCATCCGCCATTTCACCCACCGCCTCTATCACCGGTGAGTCCACATTTTTATGCCACTCTTTCCGTTTTATTGGGTTGGCAACTAAGTGATTACGGATTTTAAATAAGAAGTCTATCGACAAAGTCCGCAATTATTTAGTTGCCAATCTCACAAAAATGAAAAGGCAATTGTCGTCGTCAGTCAGTGCGAAATGTTTAACACGAACCGGTGGAAAATGTGAGAAAAACGATAGTTTGTTAGATTGCAAGTTTCCTAACAAATTTTATAGATAAGTGTCCCAACAAATTTTTATATCGTGTAATTATAAGGAATTTTGATATGAAAGTCGTACAGCATGAAGAAAGGCCAAGGGGGATAAATGGCTTCTTTCAATTGATAATACGGAGTGGAACAGTAGAAAGGGGAAGTGAATTTGAAAGTAAAATGAAATGAAAGCCGAAGCTTTATCTCGACACCTGGCTCTGCCCTGTACCACACGAGCTTGCAGGTAATCGGGTCGCGTGCGCTTTTTCCAACGGTATAAACTCGCGTGACCCGTGATTAACATAGAAAACATCGTCGAGCGAGATACGAGGTTATTATGTACGATCCATCGTCTAAGGTCAACGTCGTTGCTTCAGATAATTACGATTGAGTCACTGGGTTTCTCACGGTTGCGAAATCGCGGATCTAATCGTACGTTTCCATCGTTTCACGTGATCTGCGTATTTTTCTCACGATGCATACTCCGACCGATTAGCATTCAGGTTATTATAATTACTATTAAAATAATTCACGTTATTAAAATTGAAAGAGAAAGAGTAACGCCAGGGGTGACGAAGGAATATAAACAAGAATGAGAAGAATCTCTCATTTATTATTGGAATTGTACTGAATTCTGTAGAACGCTTCGATTCGTATATTATAGAGAAACGCACTTGTCGTTCTCAATTGTCATCCGGCATCTGATCAGAGAATTGATGTTCATTGAAAAAGAGAGCGCGATGTAAAAACGCGGAGGGTTATAAATAAATAAATGAAAAAGAGAAAAAATCTCGGGACGCGATAATTTGTCAGGCGATACCGGGGCGGCGCGACGCGGTAGCCTGACTGTTGCTCTTCGTTGTCGCCGATTTCCGATTGTTTTTTTAAAGCGCCGGTCGCCGAGGACATTAATTACCCGGCCAGTGTAAATCACGTTATCTACCGCCCTACGCCCCCTCCGTCCACCCGATCGGCGGGTGGCGGTTGAAACAGGAGGCGCAGTAAAAGGCGGGGGCGGGTTGCAACGACGGGGTGCATTGCACGAGGGTTGCACCGCTGCCAACTGAGCAAAACGGTCGTCGACTGCCGCTCTCTATGGCCACACCAATATCCTGCACGCTCCTCGCAAATTTATCGGCGCCGCGAAAACTTCACGCGCCGTAAACGTTTCCCACCCTTCTGCCGCGTTTCAAGAAATTTTTCAAAATCGTATCGTCCGCCCTCCGCTCATTTTCAACCCAGGATTAAAAGCTTTAGAATATCAGTTTAAAAAATGAATCTTACACAACTGGAACACTTATCGTGTAACTCCAATCTGTTCTCACAATAAGATTTTCTAAGGATGTATCAGATTTTGCATTATGAATTTTATGACATTGACAGACTTACAAATAAATTATTTAATTATGATACGTTTGATTATTTAATCACGAATAAGAATGTAAAGATGCGGGGTGGTAAAGGTAAGCGGGGGTTGAAAAACGTTCATCGATCGGGAGTCATCGCTAGTTGGCCGATTCAAGCGTCGCCGAAGTGGCCGAAAAATTTTCCAGCAGGAGATAGAGCACGGTCGGGTTCTGGGTGCAAGATGGTGGGTCGATGATGGCGGCATAGTCGCGAAAATGTGTGGATGACAAGGGAGGAGGAGCGGTTAGGGGTTAGCCGGGAACGTATCCATGACGACCGACCGCCCCACGAATCGCCACCCCGACGGAGATCCTGGATGCACCCCTCGCCGACCCAGCATCTCCAGGATTAAAAGCTTTAGAATATCAGTTTAAAAAATGAATCTTACACAACTAACACTTATCGTGTAACTCCAATCTGTTCTCACAATAAGATTTTCTAAGGATGTATCAGATTTTGCATTATGAATTTTATGACATTGACAGACTTACAAATAAATTATTTAATTATGATACGTTTGATTATTTAATCACGAATAAGAATGTAAAGATGCGGGGTGGTAAAGGTAAGCGGGGGTTGAAAAACGTTCATCGATCGGGAGTCATCGCTAGTTGGCCGATTCAAGCGTCGCCGAAGTGGCCGAAAAATTTTCCAGCAGGAGATAGAGCACGGTCGGGTTCTGGGTGCAAGATGGTGGGTCGATGATGGCGGCATAGTCGCGAAAATGTGTGGATGACAAGGGAGGAGGAGCGGTTAGGGGTTAGCCGGGAACGTATCCATGACGACCGACCGCCCCACGAATCGCCACCCCGACGGAGATCCTGGATGCACCCCTCGCCGACCCAGCATCCCTTCTATCTTCCGTCCTCTGCACGCGTATTTCTCTCCCTCCGATCTACCCTCCGGCTCGGTTAAGCTCTGAATCCTCTATCTGGTTCTCTATCGCGTGGGATGGCAACTTAGATCCGAACATTTCGTGCCGCCGGCTTGTAATACCTGGCTATAATTCTAGTTTCGTCTGACAAAAGAGCCGTCGTGAAATTATAGTTCTCCACGTGAAAATTGATCGGTCTCGTCACGGTCGAGTAAACAGAAATATAATTCAGTAGCGATCAGAAATCCTCGACCAAAAGCATGATTCTAAACGGTTCTGTCGAATCATTTTTTTTAAAGGTGAGAGAGCGAAGACTAAAATCAAGGATCGCATTTAAAATCATAGGTTTGGTCACTCAATTTAAAACCCCGCACGATGGTTCCATGACCTCGGGGAGGGGGGGACGGTTCAGTGGAGCGTGGCCGATCGAACGGCGAGTCCCGTGAACCTTAAAAGGGCTAACTAGCGTCGCGCTGCCCCGGCAAACAACAACACGTTGTCGGCATGCGCGTCACCTCATTTTGTCAAACATCAATTACCAGGGCAAACAAGGCGGGATGGTGCTCGACCGGCAAACATTAAATACATGCACCGCCCTTCGGACACGCTGACACAATATCCGATATCTAATCAACCGTACCAATACCAGACCTATTTAACCTTAACTGGATAAAAAAAAGTATCATCGAATGTCTAATTTCAGTTCTTGCATTTTAAACAATTCTTTCATTTCATCAATTTCAAACAAGTCGAATCTTTCTTACGAAGTTCTGTAGAAAAAAAATCAAGTTTATATTTAATAAAACGCGTAAATGAAACTCGAACTGGCAATTTCTTATCAATAATTATGAATCGCTGGATTTCATTTTTTCGATCTTGTAAATCGCGGGGTATCAGAGAAGCTGTTGGAGCCTTTGACACCGTAAGAGAGCCAAGTTTCCCGGCAATTAAAGCCGAGACGAGTATCGGTGGTGACACTTTGGTACCCTCGACCGGAAAACGTGAGGACACAGGCTACGTGGCCAGGGAGGAGAGTAACGTTACCTCTCTCGTCTGTCTAATTGCACGGAATGGGGCACCTTCCCGAGACAAACGACGCCGCATAAAAGGGAGCCCCCTGGCCCCGCCGACACCCTTTATTCCAATTTCGCGCGCATAGAGTGGCCCGGAGGCAGGATGCCAGAACGCGTAGCGCATTGTACGCGCAAAAAGTAGAGCAGACTCGAATATCAAACGTGCGAAACTCACTGGTACATATTTTCGTCAACAGTTTCGTGCATGCAATTACTCAGACACTCTTGGAACAATACGATTCAATTATGAATGGAGAAGGTGTGATTACCTCGTCAAGTTTATATATCAAAATTAGTATGTGAATATTTCTTGATGCGTTCATTACTTCTTGTTTCGATTATAATAATAGAAGACAAAGTGCTGGTAGTTGATATTTGCTAAGAAAATCTGAGATACGTATTCGATTAATCACTGAGCAAAAACTCACCCCTGTCTGGTCGGAGGAGGGTGGATCACGGTGACCAAGACGCGTTGATAATTGCCGGTATCGGTTAACCCTGGGGGGTGGTTTCGGGGTCTCGAGCAGAGCGCCGATTGTGTATGTGCGCGCGCGATCCCTTTTGCCGGGAACCTTTGCGCGCCCCTTCGTTTCCGGCACCGGCAACTGCGACTGGTTCCAACCCCTCGTTCCCAGCCTCAAGGGGTGACTAAGGTTCAGAGGATCGTAACTGTCTTCTTACCCCTAAAAAATGGAAAGAATACATTAAAGAAAATTCGGGGACGCCGGCTCGGATGACCCCCGGACATCCGTTTTCGAGACCCTCCTGCTACGATTCCCGGGATTCGAGTGCGAATCTCTGTTATACTAGCAGCGAAATCAAATCAAATATCGTTAAAGTTCGAATCGTCTATTGTTTAAGACGTTCAAAGATTCTCATTTTAAGGATGTATTGGCTATACAGTCAATCCCAAAAGTTTATACACTTTAGAAA